TTCGCATCCATCGCATAATCAACCTCACTTCGCCCGCATAATTTACCTCATCGCATCGCATAATCCTGGACACCCTACAATAGACCTCGGGAAATCACATGACCGAAAAATCCCTGTCAGATGATTCTGATACCTCCTAACCGACTTCCTAAAATTCCAGACCTTATCTAAAAGTATCTAAAAATTTTAGATCCATTCAGTAATTATTCTTCGCTGTGCGGACTGTGCGCGGCACACAGAAACAAAATTTTGCGCATATTTTCTTTTGAACAGAGATGCCGCACAGAAAAAATTAACATTATGTAAAGTAGTGCGCACACTTTTGAATAGTTTTTCTTTATTTACCGCACCGAAAAGTTTCCAAATTGTACGATGCCCGCACAGTAAATTTTAACTGAAAAATTAATACTGGATCCATGATTCCTAGGTAGTTTATTTGACAAATAATTCAGACATTTGGGCCAACATTTGGGTAGTTTTGGATTAGGTGTCAAAATTTGAATATAATGCTGGTCATGCTGCGTCGAAACAAATCACGTAATTGTCGAGTATAGTTTCTGTACTGGGTACTCTTTAATTCATAATACATATATGTACCTCTAATCATAAAATTTTATGTTAAAATCCCAGCATAAGTAAATCGCAGCTTAAGTTGCGACTTTTGGTAGAGCTACATGTTTCTGCATCATGATCAGTCTTTTATAGATAAACGTGCTTAAGCTAAATTGATCGATACTTCAATCATTGTTATCCCTGCCTGCCGATTGTCACGAGTGATTCATGATTGATTTATCGGAATATAATAAGCTGTGGTCTATATTTCAAGCTTACGGTGGCAGTGAGGCGGTTTAAGGAATAAGTGCTTGCACTAATAAAAAATTTAATAACCAATAGAAAATTAGTTATAATGTAGTTTATCATCTTTAGGAATGTTTTAATAAAGCACCGAGATCCAGTGTTGGAAGTAAATAAAAGCCAATAGTGATAAAGTATAAAATGAAAAATCCAAGGTAAATATAAGAAAAATAACATTGACATCGAGGCCTGCTAATTATATTAATAAGAAATCCGTAGACAATTAATAAACATAGCCCATATAAAAGTACGATTTATTAACGCTTCTCTCTTTTGGATTTTCGTGTGGCAGTTGTCTTGGAACTATTTCGTTTTATACCTTTACCATAATCAGTGATACATTTATTTCGTGACTGCCATAAATTTATAAATATTTGAGTGTCAAATTTATACTCTTGCTACAAGATCAAACGTAACTTACGCCTAATTTTTTCATAGGTTTTGTAGAGGAAATGTCCGAACTTCCCTTAGCTTTTGTGGCGTTTGTGATGGAAGTGTTTATTGTAGACTCATCTCTTGTTCACAGAAAAAGAATAAACCAAATAATTTAGTGGCGACAATAAAAATGATTATGTATCAATTAAGATAGTTTGAATTACTTGTCATTGATTGCTTTCGTCGTATTAGATTCGACTGACCCTATAGATTGTGACGAACTTGCAGCTTCAGCTAATAAAAGAGGTAATAGGTTTCGCGGCTTTATGTCCCTGCTATAAGAATAAACATTAAAATGTAGGAATTAAGAATAAATTTGATATAAAGTATCTATAGGTAGTTACCTAACTCACATTTTAAAATCTTCATTGTCGTCATCGTCATAATCATAAAATTGTGGTGGAATAGGATATCTTCTCCCTCGGCTTTATATAATTTAATGTCAGTTAGTTAAAAAAGAAATGAGACAGATAATAATAATAGACTGCTTACAAAACTAGTGCCAAATCACGATCCGTTACAATTGGACTATTTTTCATAACATTAGACCCGATTAAAGGATTTCTAGGCGTGTCACGCACAATTTCTGGTAATCTGTTTTTGTGTTTATTATAAACTGGACATTCAACTAATGATAAACATCTATTGCTATCACTAATGTCAACTTGCGATCTTAGAGGGGTCCGTAGTTTTGAGGCATCAGAAAAGTACCTAAATAAAGAGTAAAACAAACATTTTTTAATGAATAATTTTACAAATTTAATTTAACTTGTAAATCTCTACCTCTCGTCGGACGGCATTACTTTATCCGGGCTATCATGAGATAAAAACACGAATGTCGCAATAAAAACGTAAAGTTTTAAAACCACTCAAAAGGTATCCTTATAAATGAAATGTTAGTTTCTAAAGCTAAAAAGTTATGGGCAGGTGATTTAAAATCACCAGAACTTTGGTGCGACGGCTAGAAGAAAAAAAACTTATCGCAGTAGATCAGATTATGATGTAATTGTTACATATAATTGGCCAATCAAATAAAGCGTTTACTAATTTTGCCCCCAAGTTTCTATTGGTCATCAGTGAATCGCATCTTTGATTGGACGAGTCCAGGAATATACTGTACGGGCATGGTTGGCAATGGTTCAAGCCTAATGGAGCTGCGAATGGAGCCAATGGAGCTCTGAATAGAGCCAATAGATACATCTGGGCTAATTCTCGACAGTTGAACTCTGAATAGAGCTACTAAATTTAAACCTCTAATTTTTTTTGAGAGTCTATTCTGCACGATTCTGCAAGAAGGGTTTAATAGATATGCATAAAACCCATTAGATTATTGTTTAATTTATTGGACAAGACCTACTAAAACATGATATTTGATATTGTTATTGTTATAAATAAATGTTGAAAATAAATTTTTTGCCTTAGTATACGAATTATAAAATAGCGGGTTTATTCAATGAGTTTACTATTTCAGCTTATGAAATATAACAATAATTTTATTATATAAAAATACTATAAGATAATTTATTTTATAAGTGTTAATAGTAAACCATTAAATAATCTATTTTACTATATATAGTATATTAAAATTTTTTATTTATAGTTAAAATAAAATTATTTTAAATTTTAGATTCTAAAATTAAAATTTTAAATATAAAATTATTTTATTTAAAAAATAAAAAACAAATTAAAATCTATATATAGCCAAATCTCTCTATAGTCACATCCTATATAAGCATATATTCTTTATAAGCACATATTTTTAAAAACTAACTATTATTAAATATAATAAATTTAACCTCTATAATTGATATACTTCTTTATAATCATCTTTTTTTATATCTCAAAGGTGTAACTATAGAGAGATTTAACTATATAAATATAGTTTGGGTTATATAATTTAGTGCATATGCGTTGTAACGCACTCCCTGATCAACTAATTAAAATGTAAGATCAGATGTAATATTACACAATCAGAAAAATTCAAAACAAGTATTCGTTTTGCCAAAAATCACCTATAACTCAAAATTTCGCATATGCAACTATTTTTTGAGTCTTAACAAAAAAAATTTCTTGCAATATTTTACTATAAGCTCATCTTTTATAATTATCTTAACCTTATCTTAACCTTATCTAATACTAATGCTAACCCTAATCATATAAAAAACTATTGTTTTGATTTCATGTTATATCTGATCTTATGGGAGTGCGTTACAACACATATGCGCAAAATAATAAAATTCATATAGTTTTTATTTATTTATTTTTTATTTTTTTTTTAGACAATCTTGCCTTTATTATTTTTATAGAAGTATCAAAAAACTATATTTCTTGGCTAGTGATTTTGATATAATCTTTTGTATTATATTCTATTTTAATAAAGATTCATTTGACCAAAAGACCCAGATGTAATCTGTCAAAGTAGTCATTTTGCTTCATATCAGATTCTTAACTTATTGAAAATTTGATCTTTTAGATACTTAGCTAGGATTAATATCCTACATTAAGCAGCAAAAAAACAAAAAAAATATTAACAAAAATAATACAGAGGTATAGGGGTTTATAATAAAAAAGATACAAATAAAAAATAAAAGGGGTAAGAAAGTAGTAAAAAAAAAACAGAAAAGAAAGTTGTAAAACCTAATATCACAGTTATAAGTCTATAAAAAATTTGTAAAAATTATATACTACTAAATAAACTAGTCTCTATTCTAAATTTATCTACTTAGTTTATTAAAGTAAAAAACTTTGTGAGAAAATTTTATCGACTAAACTTGTAGAGAGGTTAGATACTATTTTGAAACATTGTTGGTATAAATATTCTGTATTTGAGGTATGTGCGAATCACTGCATATATTTATTATTATCTATTTAATTTAGAAAATAAACAATACTAGCTGTTTTGGTTCACATGATATCAATCTTTTAGAGAGGATAAGCTGAGATGTCCACTTTTTACAAAAAATTTTCTTGAAAAAAAGTGGTAGGTCAATGATAGAGTATAAGTTTCTTCTGTAAGTTTTACAGTTATATATATTTCTATAGACTTCTATTATCTCAGAGAGCTTATTTCTAAAATAAACCTTCTGGCTTGGATACCAAATATCTTAAAAAGTTCACCGAAAGAAAACCAAAAGTTTAACCCTCAAAAAAACTATTTTAGTTATACTCACTTCTCAGTATTTCATATCTTTCAGATTTTGTTAACAACAACTTACTTCAAATAAACTAGTTTTTAGAATAGCCTTTCTGATATGAATGTCAAATATTCTCGAGTGTCTGCCAAAGAAGATGAAGACTTAACTCCAAGAAAAACTATTTATTTAATATCTACTCTTTGGTATTTTATATTTTCTAGACTTTGTTAATAATAGTCTATTTGAGTTAAAACTAAGAATAGTATCTGTCTTGAAAGTTTCTATATTATTTTTCTGTAGTTCAGTTTTAATTATTATTGATCAGAAGATCATTAGAAAGAGTTTAATAGTTTTTATTTATCTATTTTTAAAATTTTATTTATTTTTTATTTTTATTTTTTTCAGTATTAAGATAAGATCTTGCCTCATATTTTTATTTAGATAATCCCAAGTATTTGCCTTATATGACTATATATCTAACTTAAGAATATAGTTTAGACAATCTTATCTACAATCTAAACCTACCAGAATATGCTATATTCCTACTACATATTGGATTATACCTGAATTTGGTATTTAGACTATATCTAATTATTCACCATATTATCACATATTTCACTATCAAATCTTAGTAACTTCTAAATTGGTTTATTTGAAAAATTAGTTCTTAATAGCCTGTTATTTGATACTTCTTTTAAACTGATATACTTTTCTAAAAGTGGCTTCTTGTATATATTTCTTAAGCCAGATACCTGCTACTACCACTAGTTCTATATGAGAAGTATTGGTATCACATATTAAAAAGAAGACTTATCAAGTATTTGTACTACCTTTTGTCAGCTTGCATCCCTTTATGCAACTTAACATTACATGAATACCCCAGATCTCCTACTTATTTCTCCAGATAAATTAATCTTATATCTTAAGCCAGGTCTTGCTACTGTTTCTCTGTTTATATCTGTCTGTAATCCATAAATAGATTGTTTTGTTTATTTTTAAATGCATATTCTATTTGTATAATAATAACAAATCTGCAGTACAGGGTCAAGTGCAATTTTTCAACAATTGCTTACAAAGAGTGAAATTTCATCAATTCTTTGCTATTTTTCTTTTTTTTGTTCAAAGCCTTAATATTTTTACTTTCATCTTTTAAGAGACTAGATATTATTTTGTATATTTTTTCTTTTTACTTAATACTGTAAACTGTATTTTCTTAAGCAAAATATGTGTTTTGTTAATTTTTTGTTTTTGACAAATTTGTATTCAGAGGATTAGCAGAAAAAGTTGAATATAATTTGTAACTGATTTCTTTCTTTTATTACATCTCTTCAAATTCTTTTTTTTTTGCAATAATTATATAACTATTGTAATTAATTACAATATACTATTATTTGACTCTTTTATTATAACTTTATTTCAAATACCTATCTAATTATATTGATTTTACAACTATATAACTATTACAATTAACTACAATATGACTCTTTTACTATAACTTTATTTTAAATATTTATCTATTTATATTAATATATATCTTATATAACTAGCTTTTTCACATATTTATACTATCTAATATTTCATTCATTAGCTATATTTTATAGTTTTAGCAATATATTTATACAATTTAGATATATATTTAGATTTGTATAAATATGACAAATCTAGATGTGTTATGACTTATTTAATCAGTTTATATCATTCTAAATAAACTATAACCACTCTAGTAAATTTAAATTGCAGATAAATATATTATTATTTCTTAGATTGTAGGCTAATACAAACAAATTTGTTTAATTCACATAGGCGCAGAGAGTTTAAATAGGTAA